AAAGGCTATGATGATGACGATGATATATAACAGAGTCCCCTATCCTCACACCTATACTGGGCACCTGCCCGGACGCCTATGCAGTAAGGACCCCTGGGCTGCCGCCTCTGCTTTTTTTCAATATTGCATGCAAGATCAAATTGGGATGGCAGCCTGCTGGGATGCCCTTGTGCTGTCCCGTACTACCCAAGTATATGGTTGTCTGGGTGACTTTGGTTTCTAGATATTGTCTTGGGAAAGTGTGTAATGGTTTTCTATTCCTGTTTGATGTTGCCTGCCGGGGGGTTAGAATCCCATCCACATTTAATTTTAGATGATTATTGACAGGTAGGCTATGATGCATGCCATAATTATGGACCTAAATTTGTCATTGTTATTCTTCTTTTGTGCTTCAACCTTATATTGTTAAGAGGAGTATGTCCACACATTTTTGTTTACCCATATTATTTTGTGTGATGACTGTTATCAGGGATGGGCCCCTGTTTCTGTTTTTGAATGAAGTCCATGTGTGTGTGAATGGATGGCCTCATTTTCTCTTTATATTTTGACGCACTTTATTATCACTAGTTCTCTATTTTTATATGATTATGTATTGGATCTCGTTTTCCTTTGGTGTGACTTTTATCTTTACTTTCTGGGAGCATTTCTTAATCTTGGTGTCTCTTCATTTAGGCTTCGCCTATTACGATAGGGGGACGCCAAGCATTTGTAGAGGAGAAGAGAACAACAACTCGAGGCAAGTGAAATCTTCCCTATATCATTGAAATTTTTCTGGTTGGTTTCAGGTTGCTTTATAGGTGTTAGAATCTTGGCTTTCTTATTTGGGTGTGGTTTATATAAGGTTGCAACCTTAAAAGATCCAATTAAGGTGCACCTCCAAATTTTATCATGACATGTAATTTTGGTATAAAATTTTCTTAGGACCTTCTGAGAATCTATTTGCTTATTTAATTATAAAATTTTAAACTTCAAAAATTGTTAAAATCAAGTAGATCTATGAACATATGAAAATTTTGAAAATGGACAGAGTCTAGATAATGTATTGCAAGATGTACTATTTCTGGGACTCAAAAGTATTTCTTTTTTTCAAATTCATACATCTTGATATCAAGATGATCAATTAGAGGGTTCTTCAACATTAAAACAATTTTTTCCGATGGATTTTTTGAGGTGCACCTTATATAAACTTTTTCCTTCTTATTTTCATGACAATCTGGTTAAGTTGTCCTATAATTAAGAGAAAATACTTTGGTGACCTGCCATTCACTGCAGAAAAACTGCTTGGATATCCACCAGCTAAGAGAAAAGAGAAACCCATCCTTCGTTTTTCTTCTGAATCAACAGCATGTGCCTGACTTTTTATTATTATTTTGTCCCCCTAGTTTCACACACCCCTGTGTGGTGCTTAAATGTTGTTGTTTTGTCTTTTTTTTTTTCTCTTTTTGCATAACTTTCTGGAATTCCAATTTAGTGACTAATTCTCTTTCTTTGTATAAATTTCAGTTGGTAGAGGTCGCTTTCCTCAAGGAAGAGGTGGGTTTCGAAATGATGGTTTTAGGGGCCGAGGAAACTATGGTGGAAGGGGGTACTCCAGGGGTGATTTTGGAAATCGTGGCGACTCTATTGGTCGAGGTCGTAATTATCAAAGAGTTGATGCGCGTGCTGTTGTTGCCTAAGAACAATAAAAGGGGCTCATCCTTAGAAAGCGGGTTTATTTTTAGTATTTTTTCTTAAAACCCATTTTGGGTCTTCAAATTTTGATGGGTTTCGGTGATAACGCCCTTGGGGAGATTTTATTTTGTTAATGGGAGTTACGAGGCATGGGTTAAATGGCTGATTCTGTACTGTTTTGAGGGTAGTTCTTCGGCTATGATTCGGTTTTCTTCTCATGGTTAATTGTTTATATTTGTGTGGGATTTGATCATGAAACTGGGGGGTTTGATATTCTATTTGTTTTCTTGTTTTTGGATGGTTTTATTGGAGGAATGATTGTGGACTTGTCTTTTGGGAAGAAAGAAAAGAACCATAGTTTTATTGCGATTTATTTTTCCTGTTATCGTTTGAAAAGTAAGCTATAATGAAATGGTCTTTCATTGTTCCAAAATTGAAACCAGGCTCAGACTTGGCAGGGTCTGATTTCGATTCTCGACTGTGATTCCTAGTTTTCAACAAAGAAACAGAAAACTAGAAAAATGGGAGATTAGGGCTTTTTTTGCCTGAAATCGCCAATCTCCCAACCTGGATTGATGGGGGTAATTCCCAAGTTGGACATGTTTTTTGATTCACTGGTCTTTGTTAGGCAAATATTAGGTGGTTGAGCTGGTATTTGTTATGTAAATACTTCATAGAAATCGAGAAGATCATGTATTTGAAATACAAGCATCACAAAGATGGTCCACCCAGACTTGCAGCGATATAACTGGCACATCTACATTTTAGAGGTTGGATCTATATGAAAGAGATCCAATGGTGTTAGATGGTTAAGGTGGAGTTAACACCTGATCTATTCCCTGAAAGGTAAGTTCCAGGTTTTCAGGTTCTGCAGTGAGGAAAGCCATCTTCAGTAAATTTTGCTCATATTAGTATTTGTTACATGGGTGTAGTTTGCATGCAGACGCATCTGTTGGAGTAGAGGTAAGGTGCACTTTCAAATTTTATCGTGGTATATAATTTTGATGAAAAACGCTTTTAGGATTATTTCAAAATCTATTTTTATATTTAATTATAAATTTTAATTTTAAAAATAGTTAAAATCAAGTAGATCTATAAACATATGAAAATCTTGAAAATAGAGAGAGTAGATATGTTGCAAAATGCACTATTTTTTAAACTTAAAATCTTTTTGTTTTTCATAATCATATATCTTGATGTCGAGATGATCAATCAAGGGGTTGTTCAACATTAAAACTACATTTTTCAATGGATTTTTGAAGGGCATCGGTAGTTCTACATTACAAGGTAACATCTTTATATAAACTTCTTTTTTTTACGTAAGGTAAGTTTAGATTTGAATCCAAGACTACGATTATCTTGTGGGATGCAAAACGTTAGTAATTTTTTAATCTGTTCGTAGTTTTTTGAAAGGGGTTAGCATTGATAGGAATGAAAACCGAGATCGGTAGAGCTAAGGCGCAGGTGGTGCTATTGCCGTGACTTCAAACCCATTCCTAATTCCTAATCTACACTGCCGACCTTGTCAAGCTACGCACCGGCCTTGCCATGCCGCATAAGAGAGAAAATAAGCTCACAAACTTCCTAAAAACCAACCAGAGATCTTAATCAGCAAGTCCACGTCCTCTAACCAGAAGTCCATCACATCATGAATCATATACACTGACGAATTTTACGACACCACATTTATGCATAAATACGACAAAGCCACCCCCAAAAGTACAAATGGGTTAAAAAAACTTGACCAGCGTTCCCCAAAAGTCCAAGTGGGTTCAAAAAACTTAACCAGATTTTTGCAAATTTGATACAAAACTAGAGGCACCAAAGGCAGCTGAGCCTCCAAGAATAGAAACAAGAGCCACAATAACTTGCAAAGCTATCTCCCATATCGAATCCTCAGGCACAAAGTAAACACAAAAAGGACCCAAAATCAAAAGCCCCATGCTTAGGCTGAGGAGGGTACTAGGAGTGGCTGGATCAGTGGCAGCTGAGAGAACACCAAATTCTTCAGCCTTTGAGAGGAGACCCAATTTCTCTACCGTAGAGAGAGAGAGCCCGAACTTCTCGGCTGCAGATAAAAGGCCTGCTTTCTCGGCTTTGGTTAAAAGCCTCAGTTTCTCAACCCTTGTAAGGAGTTTTATTGGGGGGGAGTTGGATGTTCTCTCACTAGGACCTGTTGATGGCTCACCGACGGGGAAAACTGTTACTGTTCCCTGAATGATGGTCATGACAAAAGAGATGAGTATTTAAGAAGTGGATTGTTCTCACGCCACCCACATCCCACTATCCCTTCCCACCACACACACACACACACATTCTAGGGATGAGGCCGATTTAGCTTTCTCCAAAATTTCATGGTTGACTCCATCATACAGTGAAAATTTTTATAATAGAACCTAGAACTCACTTACCAATATGATAATATTTGCTTCGATAATTTCTCAGTCTATTAATAAGCATCAATAGTTTGCAAATGCCAATATTTCTGAAAATGCTATTTTTCAAGCCCTGATCTCAACAGTTTCAGACTTTCAGGTGAAACATTACATCTACCACGGTCTAAGTATCCAAATAAATGAAGACTATGCATTATCATGGGCTAAAATCCTATAAATTAGTCCAAATCAAAATTCCACATCTAAATCACTGTTAACTAAGCCAAATAAAAACATTATAACCTGTAGCATAAATTTGAGAATGACCCTTCCAGGTTCTAACTCAGTCCCATCCACATTTAGAATAAAAATCAATGCAAACTAAAAAAATCATCTTGAAAACACAATCTATCCACATCAAGAAAATCAATGATTACTAAAAACCAAAATTGGAACCATGATTTCTAGTGCTATGCTCAGGTACTTAAGACTTGAATTTCAAAGGAAAAATAGAAACAGTAAATTTGTTAATTACAAAAGATAACTCAAATGTGAGATGCTACTATTTACAAAAGGGTGTGGTTGTATAAGGTTGCAACCTTAAACAATCAAATTAAGGCACACCTTCAAATTTTATCATAAATATAATTTTGGTGTAAAAAATTCTTAGGATGGCTTAAGAATCTACTTTCATCTCTATTTATAAAATCTTAACTTCAAAAAATGGTTCAAATCAAGTAGACATGAACACTTGAAAATATTGAAAATGGACGGTCTAGATAATTTGTTGCAATATGCACTATTTTTAGGACTCAAAAACTTTTTTTTCTTTTCATATTGTCGAGATGATCAATTAGAGGGTTTTCCAACATCAAAATAACCTTCTATGATAGATTTTTGACGTGCACCTTAGTTCTAAATTTTAAGATTGCAAACTTCTATAAACTTTTTCCTTTACAAAGGGTATATCAATATTTGATTGGTCGCACAAGTCTATTTATAAGCTTCTCAAATTGCATTTGATTGAAGCCTGCCGCTTAGAGACTATCAAAAGGAAAAAGAGATCGCCCAACATAATATTTGACTTAAATTTAAGAGTAGTGTGCTGTGAACTTGCCCCATGGGTAAGGCCGAGTTACCCCTGGTTGGGTGTACAAGTCGGGAATGTAAATATTTTTTTTAAACATTCTTAGAAAAAAATAAAAAAATGTTGAGTTGTTTTATAATATTTTTTTATAGGATTTGGATGTATTTGGCCAAAATTGGATAGTGGTTCTTGCGATAATCACTCTATTTATATATTATTTTTTATTTTTTTAAATATCCCAACCTGTTAATTTTTTTAAAATCCATATTTTCTTTACCTTTTTAAGCTTGTTTTAACTTTTTAAAGCTGTTGTAGGTTTCAATTCACTAGGACTACAATATTTTATTTTTTTTAAAATTTTTGCTTTTAATTTTTTTTAGGCTCTGTGCGGGACCAGCCGAGTCCTCACGACTCGACCAAGTAACTTGCCTTGGCCCAGGGCTGAGCTCCTTGGCCGAGGTGAGTCCTGGCACACTGTTTCAAAGCATCATGATACTCATTTCAAGAGCAAAAAGTTTATATAAGGTATCAACTTTATGGAGGTGTATCTCAAAATCCCGCCTAAAAAGGTTGTTGTGCTGCTGGAAAACCTTCGAATTGATCATCAAAATTTCAAGATATATATATATGATAAAGATTTCAAGTCATAAAAATAATGCATCTATGTCTATTTCCAAACTTTTCGGATGTCTGTAAATATGCTCGAGCAGCTATAAATTTCATAATTAAGAGTGAAAATAGATTTCTATTTTCACATGCAATGCATTCTATCGCAGGAACTGCATCTTTTAGCAGGTGTGCCTTACTTTAATTGGAAGCTGGTGCCTTACACAAACTGCACCCTTTCAACATAAAATGCCAAAGACTTTTATTCAAAAAATCCCTAAGTATTAAGAAGTTTTTGTGAAGAGACTCATTCTGAGAGTGCCACTGCACATTGTGCCCTTTTCGAGCTGTTTTTCAAATGCCTAGATACTAATAAATTAATTTGAAATTAAAAGAACTAAACTTGGGCAAATTCAGCTACATTTCTAAGTAAATGACAATATATTGAATTTTAAGACAAAATTATCTGAAAAGAAAGGAAATTTCACCCAATCTTTCGTCAAAAGTTGGGTACATTTTTTTTCTTTTGAATTTCAGAGATATTCCCATTTTCAGTTTCTGCAAAATTTCACACAATATTAACTGATACTGGGTAAACATTAAGCAAACTAGCAACCCAAATGGGCTGTATTACCCATTTGGGTAGCTGAGATTTGGACGAAATTTCAAACAATGGGATCACTATACTGACCTTTTTGGTGCTCATAGGGCGAGTTGCAGAATTAGGGTTTTGGGTGGCCATGGAGTGAATCAGAAGGGGCGACTCAACAGCTGAGGTCCTTTTGCCAATCTTTTTAATGGAGAATTTGGTTCTGTTGGGAAGAGAGAGGAGCAATTTGTTACTGCAAAATCCCAGAGCATCCATGGGTTCTTTCTTGAAGATAGCTTCACTTTCTCTCTCTTCTCATGGTGGCCTCTCATACTTGGGGATTTTGAGGAGAGAGATAGGGAGAACGCCCTTTACTTTTAAGCAAATGACCAAAATGTTTCTACTATTTCCCAAAAGAAAAAGTTTATATACGGATACAACTTTACAATGTAGAACTACGGATGCAATTCAAAAATCAATCGGCAAAGATAGTTTGGAAAACCCTTTGATTGATCATTTCGACATCACATCGAGAGGCATGATCATGAAAAATAAAAAGATTTTAAGTTTTAGAAATACTGCATTTTACAATATATTATCTACACCGTTCATTTTTAAGATTTTCATATGTTTATAGATTTAATTGATTTTAACCATTTTTGAAATTTAAAATTTTATAATTGGATATAAAAATAGAATTTGAGATAATCTTAAAAACATTTTACATTAAATTAAATACCATGATAAAATTTGAAGGTGCACCTTACCTCTAAGGATACATCCCTACACGTTTCCCAAAAATTGTGTGTCAACTTTATACTATTGAAGTAAGGCGCACCTCAAAACCATGTTGAAGTCTCAATTTAAGTGCCATAAAAGCCTTACGACGATGTGAAATCTATTGTTGCCCAATCTTAGAATTTAAAATTTAAAAAATAGTGATGATCAAGCATATATATAGATACTTGAAAATCTTAAAAATAGATGATCCAGATAATGTGTCTGAACTATTTTTAGAATTAAAAACACCTTTTTTTTACATGTCTCTAAATTTTGAAGTCCAGATTATAGATTTTCCAGCATAGAAACAACCTCTCTAATGGGCTTTTTAGGTAAACCTACCCGTATAGTATAGAGTTGACTCCTTGTATAAACTTTTTTCTTTTCCTGACTGGTACTAAAAAAGAAAGCTGCTCAAATGTGTGGCAATGGAACGTGATCCGGTCCGGTACAGAAAACGATTTGGGCCAACTATTAAATGTAGTTCAGCACGGCTCTTGTGTTCTTTACAAATTTTTATTTTTTATTTTTGGCCTGGCAAGGCCTTAGCCCGGCCCAACTCAGTCATGATAGGTTCAGGGCCTTTTTATTCCTATTAGGGCTGGGTTAGGCCTTAGCCAGCCTGGATAAGGGCCGGGCTATGGCCAAGGCTGGCTTGCTGTTGCCATCAAAGCATGCTTCCTTGCATAGAACCTAAAGCTATATTATTTCCCAGACCTACAATTTTAGGGATATGATCTCTTGAACCTGGTGACCAATCTCAAAAAAATAAAAATAAAAAATAAATAAAAGGAAAATTTCAAATTATACAATTTATTTTCCTAGAAAAACAACTTTTGAAGATTGAACAAAGACCATCTAATTGTTGAAGAGCGAGATCTAAGTGTTGAAAAAGCTAAAATAAAAAATTTCTCTTAAAAACAATTAGGATTAAAAAAAGGGTGCGGTTTCTATAAGGTTTCAACCTTAAACAATCCAATTAAGGCGTACCTTAAAATTTTATCATAACATGTAATTTTGTTGTAAAAAATTCTTAGTATTATCTTAAAATCTATTTTCATACGTAATTAGAAAATTTTAAAATCCATAAATAGTTAAAATCAAGTAGATCTATGAATTATACGAAAATCTTGGAAATGGACACTCTAGATAATGTGTAGTAAGATGCACTATATCCGGGACTCAAAAACAATTTTTTTTTTTATATTCATACATCTCGATGTTGAGATGATCAATTAGAGGGCTTTTTCAATAATAAAACAGCCTTTCCGATAGATTTTTGGGGTGGATTCTACATTTTAAGGTTGCAACCTTATAAGAACTTTTCCCTTAAAAAATTCAAATATAAAGAAATGCTTCCCAGTCTCTTTTCCTCGAGCTAATGCACAACATCCTCTTGCAAAAGCATTTTGTTCACAAATCTCCACGTGTGATCTCTAGTGTTGTAACAATAAGAATCTAACCCGGATCGACCATCTAATTTAGATTCACAGGGTCCGAGTTGGGCAATTCTCAAGACATATAAAACTATAATAGAAAAAAGATTATAAATACAAGAAAAGGAAGATTGATACCAGGGTTTGATATGGGAGTCGCATGCTTCCCAATCCTAATCAGAATCAGCGATTCTCGAGTCGAATTGAGGATTTCCGAATCAATGGTTTGTTCTTTTAATTTGTAAAGTAGTGATTTATAACAAAGCTTGCTTTCTAATGTGGTCCGGTTGGCAATCACGTTTAGGCTAAGCACACATTCTTTTCATGTCATATATTTTTGAAAAATTGTTTCATCCGGGTTGGACTGTATTTCTACATATACGGTCTAGAAGTCTAAAGAATCTATCTTAAAGATGGATGCAAATATGTGGTCTATCTAAAAGTAATTGAAACTAATGGTCCAAATTTTTTTTAATAAAATTATTATTTCTAATTTTAAAATTTTATTTATTTATTTATTTATATTCATGATCTCCATGTTAGAGATTACATATCCTTAAAAATTAAGTAAAAAAATCGTCTCAAAAATAGATTTATTAAGCGGCCTACATTTCTACATGTGCGGGCTTGGCCCGCATGCTAACTGCGTCCTATATTTTCTCTTCATTTTTTGCATCTGATTTCGTCTGCCTAAATTTGACTATTTCCCATTCATTTTTCAAAACAAGAATTTTGAACATTGGAGTTTTTTTACATCTATTTTTCAAATCAATATTATCTATTTAAAAATATATTGAAAGTTGAAACCAGATAATTTGAATCTATTTTGAACTTTTCATCTCAATTCAGGTTTAATGTTTTTTTTTATTTTCTTCTATTAATTTCAAATTCACATGTGTGTGTAACAATAAGATAACTTAGGAGTTATTGAGAAGTGACCTTCCAGATACAATATATCCATATGCTATTTAATGAAAGACAATTATGAGTTTTTAGATAACATTAAATACTTTTATGGTGATGTTTTAAGAGAAAATGTTAAAAATAAGTGCCTTAATGTCTAAAGTATTAGGCACATATATTACATCTTTAGCACGTCTAAAAAAAAAAAGCCATGAAGGTATGTGTTGATGTTACATAGTTGCAATCTATTTATTGAGATTTATTTTTCAAATCTAAAGATTTGAACTAGATTGACTTTTTAAAAACCCGTTTAAATATGAATTGATCAATGGCGAATAAGTTTTTCAATATTTTTGGGGTTAATTTATGTTGTTTTATCAAAAAGTCAAATTTTCCCAAAATTTTGGGGTTAAATTTTGCCATTTTAGCAAAAAAGAAATCAGCATTGGCCATTTCGGGGTGGCAAAAGACTAGTGTTTATGTAATTTTAAGTGGCTTGCTATCTTTCATAAAAAATGATACAAAAGTGGAGACTTGTTTTCCAATACCCCAATCTAAATACCTTGCAAATGTTTGTATTTTGGGTGCGTACATTCAAATAGTATCGAGAAATGCAATTTGAATATTAGAAGCCTTCAAATAGTATGGAGAAAAGCAGTTTGAATACTAGAAATCTTTTGTGATAGCTTTAAAATATATTTTCATATTTAATTATAAAATTTAAAACTTAAAAAATAGTGTAGATTTCTAGGAATCTTCAAAATTGACTGTCCAAAAATGCGTTACAAGATGCATTATTTTAAAAAATCGACGTAGGGTTTTTCTTCCCAAAAATTTATAGGTTTTTCGATCCAGGGTTTTGCAATCCCTTGTGCTTCTTCGATGGCTATTTCTGAATCTAAGGATCAGATGATTCACTTCTTGAATTCTCAATTTCTAGACGACGAGAAATTGCCCTTTACCAATGTTAGTGCTCTTTGAATTCTTTGATATAGGGGTTCACTTCTTCTTCTGAGAAATCTGAGGTTTGATTGACTTTCAACATAGTATGCTCATCAGTAAGGAATGGAGCTTTAATATGCCTGCAGTTTTGGAAGAAATGATGTTTCTGAGATGAGGATTAGAGTCACTGGATGATTTCTGCTTGCCCTTGTTCTTTATTTATTTGTAATTTTTTTCTGATTTTCCTGGATTTTATTAAGAATTAATGATGGAATATTCAAGATCCAAGCTTTAGGTTGTGTTCAGTTACTATGGATGGGTTGATGATTCTGCGTATTAAAATACTTGGAAATAGGGTAATTTTGTTTACTAATTGGACTTATATTTTAAGTGAAAATGCGTATATAAATTTTTTTGGTTGGATTGGTTTTTGAATAAATTTCTGGCTTAGAATGCTCTTTGTGTCTCTGTTTTTTCTCTTTCCTTTTTTACATGTTATATTCAAGAACATGCTTGTAGGTTTTATAGATGAATTTCTTGTAATGGAAGTGATGATTTCTTTATTAGTCTGTTCAAATGTTTTTTTTTTTTTGAGAGGAGTCTGTTCAAATGTTAACTTATTTTGTGGATTATACCATATTAATGCACAGGAAAATGGCTGGTTCTTCATACATGGTAAAGAGAAATTTGTTACTCACCAGTTGCTGCTTATCGATATAATATCTTCTTCTGATTTAATGATTTTTCAAACCTTATTTCTTAGTGTAAGTAAAACCTTCCACTATTAGATGCTTGTCAAAACGATTTCTTATGAAACACAATACCTGATTGATGGAAATATGTAAAATCGAAACAACATAGAAATTTTTAATTTGAAATTGGCTTTTCCTGTGAATGTTAACTTGGAATGATTCTGTTTGACAGATTATACTATGGGCTTTCGGGTTATTTGTCACTTCAGCAGCTGTAATGCACAAATATGGGATCAGGTGCTTGTGGTAGGTAATGCTCATTTCGATTCATAATTTTTATGAAAGAACTGATTTTATGGGGGGATCTTGATTCTGAATGTGATTTAGAACTTTAAATGCCATGAGGTTAAGCTATGAACTGATTGTTGAACTGAATAGAAAATACTCTTTCGAATTTTGTTTTTGGAAATGTGGATATATTATGCATACCTGTACTTCTGTGTGAGAGTGAGAGTGAGAGAGAGATGAAGCTTCTTCATATTTTCAAAACCGATTGCTTCTTCTTACTGTAG